AGTAGTCAAGGAGTCTTAATGGGTACAGGCAGCTCTGAACTGTGACTGTTAAGGATATGTTTGAGAAAATATCTGAAGATTTGGGGTAATGAAATTTGAATATCCGAAGAACTTTAATTCTTAAGGAGGCAAATGTTATTTCTGCATTATGAAGTATAGGCACCAATCCAAGCATGCTGAAGTCAATAAAAAGCCTCTGTTTGGCTTCACTGAGTTTTGAATTAAGTCTACAAAATGTTTGATAAACTGAAAATGTTACAGCAAGCTTCTGGTGTTCACCATTGCCTTACGACAATAGGTCCTGGTGGCATCAGGCAGGGGCGTTTCACAGAAGGGATTTGCTTACATGGACAAAGAGCAGAAAGCTGCTTCATTCTCTTTGTTCTGTGTTACCATTAATTTGATTTGGGATTGGGAAACATTTTTTACAAGTTAGCATTCTTTTCTATTGTGTATTTTCTGGTAAGATTTAAATTATGGTGAAACTTGTGTCACATATAATAAAAAGCAGTCACTGCCTGCTGGGTAAACGTCTTGGTGCTAGGGATACACATGAAATACTTGAGAGTGCTGAAATGCAGTTGAGTTTATTTTCGTTGCGAGTTGTTATTTTGTTAGGACACAAGGTGGCAATGACATGGAAACACTCATTAGACAAAATAGTCTAGAATGTCTTTTGACCAGTTTCCTGCTTCAAATCTGTGCTTGGTATATACAGCTTGGCACCTGGGTGTACATACAGCTATATGTATGACAACATTTGGCATGTCCTGTGGATTGTGCTTGGCAATACCTCTTCATAGTGATGCGTAAGTGCAGGACTAAGTATTACTGTCCCCTAAACAGATGGGGAAATTAAGTCAGAGGAATCAGACAACCTGCCAGAGGCCACAGCAAAAGAGCTGAGAGAAAAACAGAGACATTTTTGATCCTAAAATGTGTACAGGTGCAGATGGAGAGTGTAACCTCCTCCTATATCTGTGGCTGCACGCACAGATGTGCACATACACATGCAGCGTCCTCCCCCACGCTGCAGTAGAGGGAAGGGTCCTTTAGGGAACTTGGTGGGTACTTCTAGTTTGCTGGGAAGCCGGGCTTTTTTTCCTTCTCAAAGAATCCATAAAAAAGGGTGTGAAGTTGCCAGAAAGCATCAGCAGACTCTTGTTTTATTGCGGTTTTGGATGTGGCGAGGCTTGTGGTCATTTCTCCAAGCAATGCGTGTCCATATTTTTGCTCCATTTGACTTCGTGGGCAGAGCTGTCTCTGGTCGGCGGTGGCTGTGTGTCAGTGGAGCTCGGCTGCCACGGAGGGGTGCAGCTCCCAGCTCTGCTGGGCGGTTTGTGGGACTTTCAGCAGCTTTTCATCGTTTCCACGCTGCGGTGACGGTGCAGTCTGTAAGCACCCGCCTGCCCCAGCCTCCCGTGGAGCTCTTCTAGACCATTAGTGGTCTAACTAACCCAAGATGCATTAACCCACCAATAAACTTAAAACTCACTAGATGCAAAGTGCTCTCAAATTCACTGAGGAAAAAACAAACAAACAAAACCCCACTGAACAAAAAACAGGAGGAAATATTTTTGCTAGCTTCTTTGTATTAAGGTCAATGCTGCTCCTAATAAGCCCAACAATGCTTTTATACCCAGCGGACGGGTTTTTAGTTCATGAGATTTGGCTGTATCCTGGTAAAATCCTGGCATTAACGACCGACTCTGGGTCCATTCCACTGCAAAACAGCCTGAGCCCTGTGAGCCCTGCAGAGCCCCAGAAGTTCACTGATCCTTATCAGGTGCAGCCAACAAAACTACTGGGAAAGTATCCCCCTCAAAATTAAATGGAGCCTGGCAAGGAGAGTAGGGCCCAAGAAAAAAAAATATATATCTTTTAAAAAAAAAAAAATCTATGTACTCGCAGCCTTGAGCTGTGAAGCTGCCTACTAAGTGAACAAACTCATGGAATTTAACTCCCTTCTTCCTGTGTTGTGGCGCTCTTAATTTTGGGGTTCTTTGATCCACCTATTCATAGCTGTGAAGCGAGCAGAATTTAATCAGGTTCTGACAGGGGATGGTTGATTTTAACACTGGCCACCAAAAAAGAGCTGTCAATCAAGGATGAGCTCTAATACCTTCAACTTGCAGCTCCTTTAAACTTCTGCTGCAGTCGAGTGGTGCTTGGTCGGCTGTGGAGGAGCCAGGCACCTACAAAAGGCGCTGGGGGCTCCTCGGGCACGCTTGAGGGGGGAGTCCCTGGGGGCTACTCCCTGCCCTTTATAAAGGGGCGGCGTGAAACGTCTAATCAAATTGGCATTTCCTAGCCACATGAGAGGAGAGATTTCCTCTTTGAATAAGGAGCGGCTTTCATAAGTGTGCATCCCACAAGGCCTGCTGAGCTTTTGTGAGCCAGCAGGCAAGGCAGGTTTGGAGTCACTTGGATTAAACCTTTCCTTATTGTAGCTGGAACAGGAACAGTGAGGACAAGGGTTACTTTCCATACCTAATTTCGAGTTATTTTAGCTGGGGTTGTTAGATAAAATAGTCAATGACTGGCAGGATGATGGAATATGGTTTAATTTCAGATTTACTATCTGCCAACACATGCCATTCAATCAGATAAACACAGGATTTCAGCTGTCATCACAATATCTTATGCATACTTAAAAATAGAGCACTTTTTCTCACACCAAGAAGAAATTGAACAGGTTTATATATAGGATGTATACAGTCAGGGGCTAGAAATTTTGAAATAGTCTGCCATTCCTAGAGAGATTCCCTATCTTTAAATTAAGGAATTATATTAGAAGTAGTAGAAATTCTCAGGATTGCAGAAGTTTTATCATTGTCAACTCCACAGAAGAAATAAAAGTAAAGGGAACACCTTGAGAAGTTGAACTATATAAAATGAGGGAAATGTCTGTATTATTTACAGCAGACGATACGAGACTATATAGAGAGCAAGATGACTCAGAACTTCTCTGCGTGGGAATGTAATCCCTCCTCTGGTTTATAAGTTGCCATCCTTGCTCTTTTGTCTGTCCTGGTTCGCATATTGGGCCTATCACTGTAATGTGTGAATATCTGCTTCGCTCGGGAGGCAGAGATAGAAGATGACAATCTAGCATCACCCCAGCGCTATCCTAAACCAATTTTCATAGAAAATGTAATTTAAGCATTCACTATCTAAAGCTTCCCTCCTGAAAACACACAACTTTACTTAGGTGGAAACTCCCATATAGGTAAAACGTGGCACTCCTTGCCACCGGTGCTCTACGTTATAAATTTGTGAGTACATAGATGGGTATGGCTTTTCGGCTTGAACGCTTATTTGGGTTGTTTATTATATCCCTCGTGAAGAGTAGCTGATGACACAGTCCAGCACGTTTTTAAGGTCTAGCCTGGTTTGTTCACGAGGGATGCACAGAACAGCTTGTTTCTGTGAACATCGTATGACCAGACAGCAACAGGCAGTTTTCTTGCTCACAAATCTGCCGATATGCTTCCCCGGCAAGCAGCGTCCGCCCAGGCTCTGCCCTGCTGCTTTCTCTCCTGCTCACAAGCCTCTTTCTTCCTTAACATCCACGTAACCTGTACCTTCAGTCTCATATTTCCTATCTAGTTTGCTCTTCCAGGTTTTCCAGTCAACTTTGATTCAGAGATCTCCTCATTAGCAACTACTAGCATTTTCTAGCATAACTGGTTATTGCCTGCTCTCGTTCCCTTCTGTATTCTACCAGGCTGCTCCAAAATGAGCTCTGAAATGTCGTCCTGAGCTGCTCAGCATAATGGTATCTTTGAAGCCAAGACTTGTACTTTGCTTCGAAGAACAGCTCTAGCAAAAGGACAACATTTTCTACTGAAGATAAGGGAAAGAAGGCATTTTTTTGAAAGCGTTCCTCCCGCCGGTTTCCCTGCAGGGGGGAGGCTGGTGCTTTTTCTAACATGTGCAAAGGCGCTCTTGAGGAGCTCTGCTACGACAGATTGGCTTCTTGCCCATGGAGACACGAGGACAGCATAGCGCCAGCCAAGATACTGAATTTCCTATTGCTTGGGCTTCATCTCTTTCTGGTTAAGCTCTCATGCGCTTCAGAGAAAAACTTGATTATCGGGTTGTGGGTCCCTCAGCTCAGCTGTGGGAGGGTCTTTTCAACTTCCACAGCTCCCTTCTGGAGCTGGGTTTTGGCTGCAGAGGCAATTTGTGCTGGGCTATGCAAACAGATAAAGCAAAGAAATCACAAGGCTAGAGTGAAGTCCAGTGTGGGTGTTTCTCAGTCTTAAAGGCTTTGGAATTCTGTTTGGTTTTTATTTTGTTTGGCTTTTTCTTGGTCTCTTTTAGAAAAGCCTTTTCACATACTATGATCTCCCAAACAATTTATTTGAAAACATTGGTGGGTGGCGCATACATTATGGGCTGTGGTTTCATTGATATGCTCAGCCTTGCTAAGTAGATGGCATATTAAATGTTTTATTTACCCCGTGTGCTACCTGTCATCTAATCAGCTTTTGTTTTTGCTGCATTCTGCTTGTATTATAGCAAGAATAAGTGGTTTCATGTAAATTAAAACCGCATGAAACCTTTTAAAGCCATTTTACAATACTAAATGCTTTTGCAAATAGGTTTGTCGGACAAGGATTGGAAAGAGAGCTCTTTGCTTACCCATTTACTCTTTTGTATGCTTATTAGAGCCCCCCGTGTGACTCTTTCATCAAGCATTGCATCCCAGTATTCATCTAGAATGCCAAAAGTCATTTATACTGTGCTCAAGAGTGGTTTGCATAAACAGGAGGCAGTTAACAAAGAATACAGTTGTGAGCTGCAGTTGCAAATGCTATTTTATAAATTACAATACAGATACACAGTAAAGTCAAAACATGCATCCCTGTGATGTTTTCTTGCTTGCCTGGAGCATAAAAGCATGTTGGCTTAAAAGTTTCTTTGCTTTTATTAACTATTATTGCCAATGTTTATGGTTGCAATCATTTCACTGTGAAAAATTTTGTTTCTTACAGGTGGATCGTATCATCTTTTGTGTCTTTTTGGAGATTGACTACAAAATTTTCAAGAAGAAAATGGGCGAGTTTTTCCCTCTAGGTAGGTATAGTAATCGAGCGCCATCTGAATTTTAAAAATGATGCAGCAAAAAGACAACAGTTGGCATCCTTTCTTCTTTCCCCGCCTAAGCCAAATATTAAAATGGGAACTTTCTTTAAAGATTAGCTGCACATAGACGCTCTGATCCTGGACAAATGCAGACATTTAAAATTTGTGAACCGGTAAAACTACTTGTGCTACCGCTTTTGCAAAATCAAGGCCTGCTTTTGTATGCTCAGTACAGCGAGTTTCTTCATTCTCTGCTGTATCCATATCTCCTCCTGAAACCTGGTGCATGGCACTGGCTGTCTTGACTCTGAGAGGAAAATGATTTGCACTAATGTGTATAGCTCCTAGTGTATATTGCTTTTCCATGCACTTTGTACATGCTTTGCTCTCTCATTAACGATGCTGGTAGGGTTTCTCTGGGTCTGAAAAGATACCACAGGGGTTAGAGCCCAACTGTGTCTGAATGAGAACTTTAAACTTGAGCTGTCCCTGTGCAAGAATGAATGGGAGAAAGATGGCTCTCGCCGGAGCACTTGGGAAATGTTAGCCATTCATCTTACGTTTCACACAGGAGGTTACTTTCTAGAATTTGAGAAAACCTGGTGGATACTAAATTTGTTAATCCCCCTCCCCCCATATGTCTGTGATTTATTTTTATCGTATATCATTAGAAATCTATGTTCCGTTTTTTTATCAACCCTAACCTTCCCCCATATTGTTTTCTGTGACATCAGTCCTGCTATATGTGACAAGATCCAGGTTTTAGTATTTTGTTTTATCACCCATTTCAGAAGTGGCAGTCACTTAAATACTCCCCATGCTGTCTGTCTGGTGGAAAGGGCCTTTGAGTAATAGGAAGCAGAGCTTTGGTGTGTGCTGTGTCTCCGTTAATTCTACAGGACTGTGTTGTCACAGTAGCCACAGCGGTTTTTTCCTTTCGCTTTGGCTGGTAGTATGGAAATTGTGATGTTTCTGTCTCATCTCACTAGAACAAAGCTTTTTGTAGATGACTTTGTAATCTCCAGTTTGCAATGATTGGCAGCTGAAACTTAAAGACCTATTGAATAATGCAGGTAGCATAGAATGGTGTCTAACCGCTTAATAATATTTTTGTCTGGAGCACATTGAACATGCATTTCAAAGACTGCATTCATGTCTAATCCAGTCATTGTGTGATTTTATTTTTTTTGGCAGTGTACCCCAACCCATAAGATAAAGTGGCAGTACCCTGCCTGCTGTAGCTGGCTCTGTCCCTGCTCTTCAGATTAAGCAAGAGTAGACTACAGTGTCAATTTGTCAAGAAATTAGAGTATTAATACTCATCTTCATCATTAAGGTCTTTGAAATCATGGATTAAAGCCTGGTATTGTTGTTATAAATGTAAAGCCCACTTTGGGTTTGAAAGCCTGAGAGACAAGAAGATGCTTCAGCGGTGAAGCGTGGCAAGCCCAAAGGGGAAAAGAGAGGAAGATGGGAGACTTATTTCTTTTGTGGGGTTTTCAAAACCCGACATTGTTGAACTCCTGTCTACAGAGAACCTGTGTGGTCAGGTGTCATATTATATAAAGACTTATAATTGCATTACACCACATTATACAGCTGATCGGTTGTAGCATAGTTTTAAAAGTATGTTTATTCTCATGCATGGAAAGTTTTTACAATTTTTTTGCTTGAACTAAAACTGAGAATTTGGTACGTGACCATAGAGAGGTGGTCGTAGTCAGGACCCTCTAAGGTGCAGCAAACCCAGTGGTTTGCAGGTATGTGACTGTGGAAAAGGTTGATCCAATGCTTACCCAGACAGCTGTCCAGAGAAAGACATTTTAGTTCTCAGCAGCCACAATTTGGTATAGATTGCTAAAAGATCGTAGGACCCATTTTCATAGGCTCCCCACTGCAATTTTCTCGTAACTAGTGATTCTGAATACCGGTTTGGATATGCCTTAATGATGCTGGTTTCCAGAAGGACCTGAGCACCTACTGGTTGGTGAGCTGGAGCTTTAAAAGGAACCAACTTATCAGCTAAAACTTTATCCCTGACTCAGTGAAGGATTTCTTGTGGTTAGGTCGGTAGTCAGTGATTCAGGAGATCTGATTTTAATGTCTGGTATAACCATGGACATTTGGTATGCCCTTATAGGAGTCACTTAGATCTTCAACTTGTGAGGAGACAGGGAGAGGCAGGAAAGATACGGCTACCCAAATGACTCTCCATTAGTGTCCCTGGAGAAATGATCAGTATCTGGATCCCTCTCCTGGAGGAGTGCCCTAATA